CTCCTTCACTGTAATACCTAATTGTAATATGTTCCATATTAACTAATAAAGATTTACAGCATATAAGCAATTTACAACAAAAAAAAAAAAAAAAAAAAAAAAAAAAAAAATTAAATAAATACATTAAAATAATAATATTAAATAACTATAAAATTAGTATTCAAAAATTTTTCAAGGGCTATAGAATAAGCTTGCTCTGCCTTTGGTAATGCTTGCTTATCTTTTCAAAATACTTCTAATATATCATCTTCATTTTTTATTCTTTGATTTTGTGAACTATCTTCATCGGCTTCAATTATTTCTTGAAGATTTGATTTTGATTTTGATTTATCTAATTCACTTAATTGTAAAAGTAGAGAAGAGACATTATTATTTATACCCAATTTGAGAAAATTTTCACAATGATAACATTTTTTATTCAATAAAGTAAAACAGCTCTTATAGTATCTATAACCACATGCAATAACCATGCCATGGAGCTTTTACCTGTCCTGTCATATAATAATCCATGGCAATAATCACATTTGTCAGATGATGGCAAATGCTCACTGATAAATCCTAATAGTATGTGTTTTTTGTCTACAATAATATCCAGCGATGCCAGTTTGTAGATAATTTTCTTTTCTGGGCCTTTAAGATAGAACTTTGGCCTAATCTTTGGTAAATTTTACCAAAGGTTTCAAGAAGAAATATCTGTGCTTTCTTTGTTAATAAATTTATATTATCTTTATTTGCATATGTAGACTTTTTCTGAATGACAAATGTGTCTTCAAATACTTTGCTAGCTCTTCTGGCATTAACAACCTTGGCAATCTTGGAAAGTTGTTGTGATGTATCAGTAGAGAAGCTTTGCTATCATATTATGCTATACATATTCTTAACAAGATAGTCTGTAAATTTAACTAAATGATCTTTTAGTACATTTAATATTGGATGATCATTTTGACTCTAATAAAATATATCTGAAAAAAATACTAAGGGCGCTTTATTATAATTATGCCTTTCAAACCACAAAAAAATACACCATGCCCGAAATACACTTTCGATATATGATTCCCAATCTCCAGATCGAAATATATGTCTAATCTGACTGGTACTATATTGTCTAATAATTCAAATAGAAACAAAAATTTAATATCTTTACAATATTTACCAAATTTACTTGTTACTATTAGCTTGATTTCTTTCCAAGCACTTCTTACTAGTTCCAAAAGCACAAATATTCAATATGGGCTTGGTGTTTTGCTAAGTACTTTACTCCTACTAAACACATATTGGCACTCTATATTAAAAAAATTCCAATAAATTTTTAATATAGATTCGAGCAAATTCAACTAAATATGGAGAACTCCAATAATCAGAATGAAAGATAATATATTCTCTAGTATATTATCTACATGGTTTAATAGACAAAGAGTAATAGCTTGCTATGTAAACACCTGCCCAGGCCAATTAGCTACAATTGGAATAATATTATTAGTTAAATAATTAGTTAATAAAAAAGTTTCATGAACTTTTTGCAAAGCAACAATATATGAATCAATTTTTTTAAGGCTTAATTCAAAAAAATCCAAAAGTATTGTGTTCTTTATTTTATGCTCTTCCTGACGTTCTTGTATACAAGAATCATATTTGTAAAGCGTCATATTTTCAAGCTTCTTGTCCAAAAGTACCTCATAGTAAAACTGATCATTAAACATTTTGGCTATTTGTTTCATATAAACACAATCTAAAAAATTGCAAATAAGGTTAGAATCAACTAAATTTGGATTGTGAATTGATATACCGCCTGTTGTGACTTGAGGAATTGCTATTGAATCAATACCATTTAGCAACAAGGTAGTCATATGCACTATACTTGATGTTGAACATGTGTTCAGTATTTGCTTGGTGTAAATATTATGATAATCATTAATGTTAAGAACCAATGTATTATTCTTTTTAGCTTCTAAATATGAAGCAACTCTATATGGATGATTATTAGCAATGGCTGTTTTTTCTCTGTCTAGATGCCTTTGTGAAATCATTATACCAGCATACGATAAGGCATCTATAGCTTCTGCAGAAACTTCCATTAAATCTACAAAAAAAGAAATGTCTTTTTTAAAAGCTGTTAAATTAGAATTTTGATTTTCACAAATAATATAATATTCTACAGCTAATTTTTTGTCTAATTTATTTAAATATTTATCACTTCTATTTTCGGGAAGTGATGCATTATAAATTGAATCAAAGAAACCACTTAGTCTAAAATCCTTAGCCACCATTTCTCTTCGCAGCTGTTTAAAGCTGTAGATAATTGTTTCCTCCTTATTCTTTTCTTGATCATATAAAAGCATCGTCAAGACATTAACGCTATCTACCCACAAAAGATTATTATCACTTGCTGTTAATTCGTTTTTCAAATTCCAAAGTGGTATAGATATGCACTGATTCTAGCACATTAGATAACACTGATATGCCAAAGACCGTTCAAAGGCTCTTGTTTAAACTCTTTTTTTTTTCTAGACAAGCCATTTCCTCAATTTTGTTAAAGAAACCTAATTAATCATTCTGGTTTATGGCAAAAGCTTTAAGCTGAGAAAACACAACAATGGGCGGATCGTTGCCTATAACTTCTCTTTCAAAAATAATATTAGTTAGTAACAAAATAGACTCAGACATAGAAAGATCATTGCGATGCCTTTTTAAACCTCTTGCCATTCAGCTGCATGTTTTACATAAGTGCTTGCCCCATTTACAATGATTGCGTTGTAACAGTTCAAACACATATACTTATCATTATAATCTTTGTAATATGAAGCCAAAGTTCTATTAGATTCTGCTTTATTTAACACATTGTCAGTTATTTTTTTCTATTTTGAGGCTAGAACTCCCTTAAAGATCTTCACTATGCACTTCTTGACTGAATCGTGAGCTAAATTGCTATCCATTTTCTATAAAACTTAATAAATATTGAGATTATTTGGAATTACTTTTAATAGTGTATAGGTTATTTGAAGACTTTTTACTTGCTTTCTTTTTAGAGTAGGTTTATTTGGTAAGTTTCGAGAAACTGCAAGAATAAAAAGTACTTTAACCCATATAAAAAATCAAAAATTTTTTTTATTAAATTGGCTAAGCCACTATGTTGAACACCCAAATTTAGACTTGTCCACTATGCTAAACTTAAGTATCTTCATAGTACCTGCTTTTGATGCCAAAAATGTCTGTATTGTGTAGTAGATTTGAGCCATGAAACATGCATTTGCAAAATTTCTTTGGTGCCAACCAAAAATAATAGAACTAGTCTCGTCAAACAAGCATACACATGTTCTTATGAATCTACCTGGCCTGAACCAAAATTTGAATATATTCATAAAAATGTTATAAAATATAATTACGATGTAAATTTAAAAGAAACTTTTAAATTCTCTCTTTGTGTAAGGTGCCATAATATTTTAGTAAAGTTAAACCCTTTAAAAAAAGGAACAGATACAACCAAAGCTAAAAAAAAAATAATAATGTAATTTATTTATTTTTTTTTATATATTTATATTTATATTTACTAATTTACTTTATTATAATAGAAAATAAATAGATCATCTTCACCCACAATATCTATTGCAACTAGGGATGTTATCCCGTTTCAACCGGTTGGTTCGTGCTCAAAAACTCATTTAACTCTGTTCCGAACTACACATGTAAAACTGGTTATTGAATTCAGTTTATGCAAATGTATTAACCACTTTAAGTGCGCCATTTTCCCATAAACCATTAATTTTATCGTACCAACGTGCATAATATACAGTTGCAAATCCTCCCTTTGCCTTTTTTTTGATATCTCTGAACTCATTATAATCAATCCAAGATAATTTAAATCTCTCGTCGTCTAATATTCTCTTAAGTTCAGGATTGATATGATCTTGTGATTTATTAGTTTTCAAAAGGCTTCTATATTTTCTGATCCAATAATTTGCGCTTTGGATATCTCTCTTTATACCATTACCGTTTCGATAAAATTTAGCAACATTACGCATCGCACTTTTAGAACCCAAATTAGTAGATTTTTCATAGTATTCAAACGCTTTATTATAATCTTGATCAACACCACGTCCATATTCATAACATTTACCAAGACTACACATTGCCTTAGCATCACCTAAGTCGGCAGATTTCTTACGATATTCAAATGATTTCTGGTGATTTACCTCTACCCCAATGCCATGTTTATAACAAAGACCAACTTCATTCATCGCAACTGGATTTCCCAACTCAGCTGATCTCATATAATATTCAAAAGCCTTCTTTTCGTCTTTCTCAACACCAATACCATATTCACATTTGTAACCAAGATCACGGATTTGATTAGAGTCCATTTTTTTTATGTAGAAAAAAAATTTATGCAAATTAAAATGAAAATTTTAATTGTTAAGAGTGCGGTGGAATGCATTTTATGTTTAGTCTAAGTAGTACAAAAGTTACATCTATAAATACGTTTTTGATTAGTTGGCTTACATCGTTCATCAACAACGTAATTTTGAAAATTTTTATATTTGCTTACATGCATATTTGTATTCTAGTGCAACAAAACCAAAAATTTTAAATTTTACTAATTAAGAAAAATGTGCGGTTGATTAGACTTGATTATTGATATAGTAGATATTATAAAAAGCTACAACGTAATTATGCCACAGTAGTGAATAGCAAAAGTTACTTTGTAAATATGATTATCGCATTTTATTCATAGTAAGCTAATAAAAGCCTTAAATATCGATTTTAATTATCTATACTACAATTTCACCGTCGACTCATCAACCCGTAGATCTATTCTTCATTTGTTAATCATTGTATTATACAAAAGGTCAACAGGTATTTTAACTTAACATATATAACTTATTGTGTAGTCAACTAAGTCGATTTTTTAAAAATCAGCTGACAATTCTGATTAGGCAAAATGTGTGGATATCGATATAATCTAAATCTCTGTAATGTATGGTGACGGTAGTCAACAAATCGAAAAATTAGTCTAAACGGTTTCACCCACCCGTGACACACATTTAGGGGCCCACCTGGGTAACGACGGGGCGTGTCGATTGCATGCGGTTCCAAAACGAAATCAGGGACCTACTCGGGGGCCCGCAGATCACTTACGGTTCCAAAACAAAACCAGGGACTCCGGGCAACGACAGAGGGCTCGCAGATCGTATGCAACAGTTCACCAATCAAACGACATAAGATCGACACGCTGCTATATGAGTGAAACAGGCAAGCCACCCAAATGAATCCTATAAATACTCCAGAATCGAATATCCCCAACTCTCACCCGCAGCGCAAATTTATGAGTTTCTGCCCCAACCCTCCCTCCACTAATGCTAGTCACATGATTCTGATATTCTAATAGCCGGCCTGCTTCGGCAGGCGGGAAACCACCGGCTGAATAATTAAGCTATTTATTTCCTACCTGGTCTGTTACGGTGATTCCCAGCGCAATCAATATTGCTAATTATTTCGGGATAATCAATGTTTCAGTTCCTATTACTCATTATCTACCTTATCTACTGTATATCTAATAAAGTTATTCCTGGCTCTCATCCCAGCCAGCTTTGCCCATACATGGAAACGTGTGGCAATGTTTTTCGTATATTTTTTCAGTTTGCCTCATCAACCCGTAGATCTTTTCGTCATTTAGCATTCGCACCAATCACCAAATGTTGATATTTTCATCCCTCATCACCAACCTGTAGACAATCATCAACTATTTTAATGTAGTTAGTTCGAAGGAAATGATTGCCATTTTTTTTTTTATCGATTTGATCAACATTAATAATTATTGGTTAAGATTATCGAAATTTGTAAAATCGTCAATATAATGTTGTGCCTCAGATTAACGCTTGCCTCAAATGTCGATCGTCCTAAGTTAGGATAGGTTTAGGGTAAGAGTTAGGGTAAGATTAGGGCTTAATTTTAGACTAATTAATATCGATCAGTTAATGCTGGCCAAAAAAATTTGACATCTGAGGCAAGCGCCAATATGAGGCACAGCATTTGTTTAATATCCAATTCTACAATTATTCAGGTCGACTCCTCAACTTGTATCATTCGTCAATAGCACTGCCACTTTCTTTTTGCATTTAACTAAGCATAATCTTCATTTCTAGCATTGACTCAAATTTAAAATTTATCACTGTTACTGTAATACCACATACCTGGTATATTTATCCTATTTATCGTTTTTGAAAAATCATGCAATTTGTCAAAATCTATTCTTACTGACTGTACATATATATACATGCATACATATAGATCCATATTATTTCTTTTCCCAATATTTTTTGCCAACATTTATTTGTCTGGGATGGTAAGTAACTGAATTTTTCAGAAACTTATGATAGAGTTCATGATTATTTCAATGAAAATTAACTCAACATTAACTTCATACTGTAGTACTGTGTTTCGGAATTTTTGACAGGGCAAATTAGCCCAACTATAACCACTGTATAATAATTTTTACAGTATGTAGCTCACGATCGAAATCATTATAATTCCAATGCAAAATAACACAACTTTGACTACATATTGTGTGTTGCCAAAATAGTGAGTAAATTATGTAACAAAGCTTTTACAGCACTAAACCTCTTGATAAAATCATAATAATTCCAATGCAAGCTATGTGTTATCAGAATAGCAAGTTCTTAGTGGAGTTTTTTACAGCAGCTCAACTTATTGTTTCCAATACAAAACCAACTAAACCTTAACCACATACTGTGTATATCAGAATAGTAAGTCCTGTAACAATTTTTTATAGTAGAAATTATGTTAATTCTAATACAAACTAACTCAATCTCATATTGTGTATCACCAAATATTCTGTAAAGACTTTTTTACAATAACTTATGATAGAAATCACAATAGTTTGAATAAACCACCTCAACTTCAACTACATATTTTATCACCATAATAGCAGGTAAGTTTTGTATTTTTTAGTTAATTTTACAATGCAAACTAATTCAACCTTGACTATATACTTTCTGTTACTGGAATAATGAGCAAGTTTTGTATCAGAATTTTTTATAGTAACTTATATTATAAACTAGCTCAACTTTAATCTAATACTAGAACAGCGAGTAAGAATTTTTACAGAAACTTTGGTAGAAACTACAATAACCTGCATAAACCTATCTTAACTTTAACTGCATATTGCATCACCAGAATAGCAAGTTTGATAACACTTTAATCATATATTGTGCTATTGAAATAGCAAGTTTTTATACTAACTCAACCTTATCACATATTGTGTATCACTAGAATGGCAAGCTTTAAACCAGATTTTTTATAGCGCCTTATTATAAAAATCATATTATTCAGTGCAAATTAACTTAATATTAATCTTACACCATGTGTCAACAAAATAGCAAGTGAGTTCTGTAATAAAATTTTTTATTGTAGCTTATAGTAAGCATTGCATTTTATCCAACGATTTTTGAAAGTTTATAATATTAAGCTTAGATTTTTTTTTTTTTGCTAGATTGTAGGCCGAACATTACATATGTTATTTTGACAAATATTGTAAATGAATATGATTTTACGAAAATTTTTACTATTAGCAACTCTTAGGTGTACCATAATACCTGGCTCTACTTTACTATATATCAACAGAATAAACAATGCAAATTGCAATAATTTCAATGCAAACCAGCTACATATAGTGTGTCACTGGAATTTTAAGCCAGTTCTGTAACAGAATTTCTTATAATAGTGCACAATGACATAAGTTTTGTACTTACTAGAATTTTTTATAGTAACTCCAAATTGAAATCATGAAAATTTTGATACGAACCTAATTTTAACCAATTCTGTGTGTTAACAGAATAACAAGTCCTATAATAGTATTTTTTACAGTAGTATATGATAGAGTTCATGCTAATTCCAATACAAACTAAACAATCCTAACTACATAATGTGTGTCGATAAGATTTGTAATTTATTTATTATATTAATGCATGATAAAAACACGATTTTTTACAGATAATTTCAATTTATACTATATATCACAACAATAAAGAGGTGGGGTGGCGCTTCGCGCCACCTGTTACGCTAGTTATAAGTAAATTTAGAGGTCTGATCCGATCAAAAATTGGTAACTTAATATTCTTTTGTTCAATTTTTTATTAACTGAATATCCATCAAAATCCATATGAATATCCGAATATTCTATAGTAATTAGTGATTTATGTGAATTTTTGATTTTTATTTTACTTTTTATATTTGAAACACACGAAACTCATGTATAAGACTTCCACACTTTTTTTAGAAGTTTATAATTAGGAATTTACCATTTATAGCTAAATATTATTCTTTATTATTAGTCGATTTCAAAAATCGATTTTAGTTAATAGATATAATAGTCAATTAAAGTTAAATAGTTAATTAAACAATAAACATTCCATAAGTATTCCATAAGTGCAAATTACCGTTAGGTTATTTGGTAAGGGATAAATATCGTATTCAAATATGTTACATAAACATTGCAGATGCCATTATTTTATAGGGATCCGTCGGGACTACATATGAATATTGTTAAAAACCGGCTGTATATAGAAAGAACTTCAACTGTCCAGAAAATCCAAAATGAGCTTTTGCAATATTCAGATAAATTTCGGCATGATATCATATGTAGAATGGGTCCTAAATCAAAATTGAGTTTTTGTCTTAAACGTTTTTTTAATATTCTAGCAAGAACCCGTTCTGTTGAGCACGGGTAAAATTACGGCCTTTAAAATTCCAATCTTTTCTGAAAATAGGGACTTTGATAAGAAATGATTTTTAAGCTAAGTCTGTGCATATTATCATATGACCATGTTATTACTGCAATAATAAATATTTGTAAACCTGAATACCTAGATTATGGTAATAAAATTTCTTTATCCGGCGGCTTACTGTAATAGGCTTGTCAAATAAATATTGTATTATTCTTATGTACTAAATTAATACGAATAAAATGAAAATATTCATGATTTTAAATACTCAAATTATCATATTCATGCATTAAATTCATGCTTAAGCCCATTATATTCACAACTAAACTATGAATAGCAAAAAAAACTGTAATAATTTGTTTTGAATATTTAGGTTAATAAAATTTTTTTTTTTATAATGATGCACGAATAAAATGAACTAGCTAACTCACTGACTTGAATAACCTATTTTTATTACTTAGATCTATAAATGTTTTCTATGCCCATGCGCTAAATTAATACGAATAAAATGAATTAAGTGGTATGTAGGTATTCATGAACATGATCTAAATTAAATACTAATATTTATACCGTATAAGCGCGAAAGTGGACGTTATTTTGAAAATCAGGTCCTTCAAGAATAACTTATATGGTTTTTAATTAGTGCTCATGAGCGTCCCGAATTAACGCACATCCTAATGACGCACAGTCGATACTACATAAGCGCACACTCTATAAGTGCAATTCATATGCACTTTCCCTATAATGATAAGTGCACATAATTTGCTCGGTCTAATGCAATTATTTACCATAATACTATCATATTGAATATTTTGTAAATGCAAGGTCAACTGTAGGGACACTTCAAAAAAAATGATCCCAGTGATCATTACAACTATACTATCACCTAACCTACTTTTTTGATACTGCAGATCTCAGTAAAAATAAGAATTTCAACACTTTTAGCGAAGATATCTCGACAACCATCTAATCAAGTTTGATAAAACTTTTTTATTTGAATTCTATAGTTTCATAGAATCCAGACAAAAACATTTTCATTGAATTTAGTCAAGTGGTTATCGAGATATCTTCGCTCAAAGTTAGAGAAAAAACAAAACGAATATCAAAATAAAGGGGTAGATTGAAGAAGAGTTAACCCAGCAATCATCACAACATTATATGACAAGTGTTCGGCCTAGGTTAGGGTTAGGGGTATATTTAGGCCAGTTTGTTTTAATTCTGGTAAATAAACGATGTCATTAAATTTTAATCATGTGATCGTCGATCACTTTCGAGGCACGTCCGAAATGTAAGCATGTTTTCTAAAACTTGTAATGATGCTTTCTCAATAACTACATAAAAAAATTATGTAAATTTTTTTTTATTTCATTATAGCCTCTTGTATAATTAAAATAACAAAAAAGCTTATTGAATTTGGTTAGTAGTTGTCAAGAAATCATCATTAAAAGTCTTAAAATATCTTGGAAAAATACTAAAATC